CAATGTCGGGCATTTACTTCAAGATTTATGTAAGTTTTTACTAGAATTGCACAAAGGCGAGCCTCATATTGCGCAATTTTAAACCATGGCGGGAGACTGAGTAGACATCTGGTGCTGGGGAGTTTGCTGATAGGTACTGACTGTGTTGGTTTGCACAGTGGGAACTTTTTGAGTAGGAGTACCTAATGTAGATGTGGGATCCATAAGAGAGGGAGGGAAGGACATTTGCGGTGAATTGGTTTGCATTGGTAATTCTTGAAATGGAAAATAGTTTTCAAGAAAGTTGACATTGCGCGAGAGTATAATTTTGTCAGTGTTCTTGTTCATGCATTTGTACCCTTTGTACATATCTGAATAACCAAGAAAAACACACGGAGTTGTGTTCAATTGAAGTTTCGTGCGAGTGTGACTGGGAACAAGAGGATAGCATGTGCACTCAAACGTGCGAAGATGCGTGTATGCCGGAGCTTTGTTGAACAAGAGTTGAAACGGTGAGATGTTGTTGGTAGTGAGAGATGGTAGCCTATTAATGAGGTATGCTGCCATCATGATCGCATCGGGCCAGAATTGCGGAGGCATAGATGCCGTTTGAAGAATGGTCCTTGCCGTGTCCACTATATGCTTGTGCTTACGTTCAGCTATTCCGTTTTGCTCAGACGTATATGGGCACGAGATTTGTTGATGAATGCCTTTGGATTGAAGGTAGCTTTTGAACTGCTGATTAAGATACTCGCGACCTCCATCCGTGCGTATGGCTTTGATTTGATGATCCGTTTGTCTTTCAACATAATTGACAAAATTGTTAAAGACATGAAATACGTCAGATTTTAAAGAAATGGGAAATATCCATGTAAAAAGCATAAAGTCATCTACAAAGAATACGTAGTATCTGAATCCTTGATGTGAGGGGACCGGAGGACCCCATACATCGGAGTGAATCAGTTCAAGAGGCCTAAGCTTTCAGTTTGTTGAATGTTCAAACGGAAGCTTATGTCCTTTACAAAACATACAGGAAACACATTTAAACGATCTAGTAGGTATATGAAGATCAGAATTATTTCTAGCTATATGCTTGAGCACGCGGGTATGGGGGACCGAGCCGGTTGTGCCAGACAGCGGACGAGGAGCTGGATACAGAGAGAGCATGCTGTTGTTTGCTAGGAGGGTCGGTTGAGATCGGATAGAGCCCTCCTCTACACGGTCCGTGGAGCAAGACTTGTTGAGTCTTCATGTCCTTAAAGGTAAAGCCCATGGAGTCAAAAGTAACAGATATATTGTTATCCTTGACTAAGTTAGAAATTGAAATAAGGTTATGGGAAATTGACGGAATGTGAAGTAATTGAGAAAGAAAAAGCGTACGAGAGGGGGTTGTAAGAAGACCCGTGCCCGAGTGAGCAATGGGAATTGATCTTCCGTCCCCTATGGTGACTGAGTCCGATCCTTGATACGTTGTTATGTATTCCAGATTTTCGGCTTCCTGTGTCATGTGGACGACGCCCCAGAGTCCAAGTACCATTCATTTTGCGGCTGATTTGGATTGGTTATGAGAGCGGAGTTTTGCTGAATTTGCCTCTCAGATGAGGTGTAATTGGTGTTCAGGCGGTGCCAGCATACATTTGCTGCGTGTCCACGTTTGTTGCATATCTGACATATGATCGACGATGATGGAGCAGATCGGTTTGTAGAGTTGTGGTTTGGAGCTTGTCTTCCACGGCCTCTACGTCCTCGTCCGCGTCGCGTGTGCAGGGCCGTTTAATTTGCGAATATGCCGAAACGGGTATTCTTGATGCATCAGCTTGTATGTGGATTTCTTCACTTATAAGCATGGCATACAGATTGTTGAGGCTAATTGGGTGAAGCATTGTCCTAATCGATGTCTTGAAAGATTGATACGTAGATGGGAGTCCATTCAAGATATAAAGAATGATATCCTCGTTGTCCACTGTGGATCCGGCGGAGGCAATTTGATCCACCAGTTTCTTGATCTCTGTTAGATACTGACTCATAGACAGATTTCCCATGGAGATGTGGTGAAGCTCGTTCTTGAGTTGTATCACTTTGGACCGATTGGATGATTGAAATATAGTTTCAAGAACTTGCCAGATTTTGTTGGTGTAGTCAAGATGCAGTATGTATGGCAAGACGGAGGACGAAACAGTAGAACAAATCGCCGCGGCCAGGTTGCGATCTATGGCTAGTTGATCGGAAGACAGATGATCTTGTACCGGTGCTCCCATTGTAGTAGTTGGAGATGACGACGAGTGAGGAATGGGTGATTCAAGGAATTGATGAAACCCATTCGCCCGAAGCAGCTTGAAGATCTGACTTTGCCAGATGGGATAGTTATCTGTAGAGAGTTGATTTGGAACAAGTGTCTTGAGGTGAGAGATAAAGAATATGAGAGACGGTGAGATGAGCTAATTTGAAGATGCGGCGGATTGCGTCGCCGCGGATGATGTCGCCGACGATGTTTCCGCCATGGATTGTCGCTCAGGATTGAACCTTCGCTGATACCATGTAGAAACGTAGAAACAGAGAAGGAAGAGAGGAAACAGAAAGTGGAAATTCTATTTCTTGATTAAGCAATGGATACAGGGTCCTATGTAGAGAGCCAAAGATAGGGAATGGTACACTTGTAAATACACTAATGAATAGAGGCAGTTTAACACATTTGAATCTTATGTCCTAATAATATTGATACAATTTTTATAATATAGGAACAAATACACTTAGGTGTTAGTTACAAGCTAATAAAAAGAGGATGCTAATGAGAACTTATTGCATAATAGGAAGGTCAGTTCTAAGCTGCGACGCACTACTCAGAGTATTTAAGGTCATTGATCGTCAAATGACCACAGTATAATAACATTAGTGATGCAACTTGTTGATCCATCTTGCAACACTTGCGTAAATTAATTTTCTACTCACGAATTTATATAAAGGGGAAATGGAAACACTCATATCCTGGTATTTTCAAATTCTACTTTTGGTAGGACCATCTTAAAAAAAATCTTCTAAATTATCTAAATTGAAGGTTTGAAGACGACGATGACAACAACAACAACGTCTTTATCCCACTATGTGGGGTAGGCAACATGAATCATTTTTCTTCATTGTGTCATATTAAGAGAAAATTCTCATCCAAATCTAATAAAGAAAGGTCATTTTTAATATTTTATAACCAAGACTTTTTAGGTGTACCTCTACCTTTCTTAACATAAATCAAATCTAATACATCTATTTTCCTAACCGGGTCATCAGAAGGCTGCCGTTTTATGTGACCAAATCATCTAAGGAGATAATTTAAAATATTTATTTTAAGATACATTCTTAATGATACAATTTCTGCTTGAAATGGCTAAAGATAAAGCACTGTAATGCTTGAACTACTGAATTTTTTATATAAAAAAGATTTCTAGGAGGGGTAAACGGACTGTCCAATAGTTGTGATATGGATTAGATGGTGGAGAAGCTAAAAGAAAAATTAACAAATGAAAAACTTAAAAATTTATATCAATACATAGAAAAATCATTTTGCTTAGATACTTCAGATCTAAAAAAACAATCAGATCACAAATTTCTGCTCTAAAATAAAATTTTAGTAAATAAATTTAATTTTCTTTTCGCTAATGTGGACAGATCTGGAATAAAATGGCATATTCAACCTTTGCCAAAAAACTAAGAAATGGAGAAAGGAATCTAACAGTCTGTCAGGTAGAGTGGTTGAAGATTGGCTCGTCGAAGGTTACTGTTTCGTGAGCACGGAAGTGGGGAGGGATACAGGGCTGTTTGGCTAGCAAGGGAGCAGGGAGGAAGCTAGAGTAAGCTGGAAGCTAGATTGTTTCATGTGCAGGGATTAAGATGCAAACAAATTATTTTAAATAAAACCAATTGCTCAATTCGTGAATGACTTGTCCATACGCTTGCCTGCTCACCCGCGTGTCACCCACTGGCTTTATTTAGAGAACGACTGGACCCCCTTGCCTGACTCGCTTGAATTGCCCGCTACTTGCTCGATTTGCTCGGCGAGTCGACTCGCCTGCAAATCGTCCGACACAACCAACGTTTGATCAGTGAATGACTGGGTTAGTCATTCGATTAGTGAACAACTTGCTAATGTCATTGCCCGCGCCCCTCGCCACGTAACATTTCCTCGCCATGTAATCACGCACCGTGCCCCTTGCTAGTTGTTTGCTCGGGCAACAATTACCATCACTTTAAAATATTTTTTTTTCGGTTTCTATTTTATTAATATAACTTGTAACTGTTTTTATTTTAAAAAATTGTCCCACAATCAATAGTATGATAATGAGTATGAAGCTTATATGACATGAAAATTGTCAAAGTCAAATTGTGTGGATAAAGTCATTCTCCTTGTAAGAGGACAAGGGTTCGTCTCATATATAATTTTATCCATACCATATGCGGAAGATTGACAGGTGGATGATGACTTTTAATTTGCAAAGGATGAATCAAATTTACACTTCAATAGTTGTTGCAAAAAATGTACTGCATTCATTGCCTTCAGAGTAGAATTTAGTGTTTGAAAATGGGATTGCTGGCTCTAGATTGTCAATTGGTTGTTACATGAGATGGCTGAATTCAGTTTGCATAAGACTGTTGGATTCCAACAATAGAAGTCAGATTTGAAAAAGTGAGTGTTATCCCTTTTTTCTAGCTAAGATTGAATGTGTAACTCTCGCGTGTATATCGTAGAACTTCATTTCTTTTTTCACCGTTGCATCTACCTGTTCTTGATTCACTTTTGGAGCTTGATTCTGAATTGACAACTTTTTTATGTCTCGACAAAGATTCAGTAAATTATTAGTGCTGCTTTCATACTTGTTATCTAGTGTCTCTAAGTAACGCCAACAAGATTTTTGTTTTTTTTGACAATTTTTCTTGTAATCTGCTTATGATGACAACTAAATTTCTGCTCCAAAATTTGCTTGAATTTACATAACATCAGCGGCCTTCAAAAAGCTTTCCACTTTCTCCAGGTGAAAAAGGTGTTGGCAAAAGTGGGAAACCTCTCCATTACAAGGGAAGCACATTCCATAGAATCATTCCCAGCTTCATGCTCCAGGGTGGTGATTTCACCCTCGGAGATGGCAGAGGAGGCGAGTCCATTTATGGAACCGAATTTGATGATGAGAACTTCAAAATCAAGCACAAAGTACCGGGTAAGCAACTTAAGCTTCGTTTGGGATGACTTTCTTACTGTTTCTTAAAGCAAATTTTTAGTATAAATTTTTTAATTTTTATACTAAAAAGTCGCTTTAAGAAGCAATAAAGAAACTGTCCCAAACGAAACCTTAATCTTTTCATATGGTTCCCTCAAATTCCATTCCCAACACGAGGTGAGTAGCCAACAAGGTTTTTGCTGGTGATTTTTTTATCATCTCAGGATTGCTTTCCATGGCTAATGCTGGCCCTGATACTAATGGATCACAATTCTTCATCACAACTGTAACAACTAGCTGGTAACTATAAATTTGATTAACCTCTTACGTTTACCTCTTCAGGAAATCATAAATGTTAAACAACATGAAGCTCATTGATTGTTTTTTTGCAGGCTGGATGGGAAACATGTTGTCTTTGGTAAGGTTCTCTCTGGTATGGACGTTGTGTACAAAATTGAAGCAGAAGGCCAACAAAGTGGAACACCCAAAAGCAAGATTGTGGTCGCTGATAGTGGGGAGTTGCCTTTATGATGAGCTCGTCTCTTACCTCGAAAATAAACTTAAGCTTCCCTATTTATGGGCCATGTAAGAACCCTTTTGCTTAAGTTCAGAACGGATCTTGTGGTGCCTAATAAATATAATTCATTCAGTTACTCTACTGTTTCATTTGGAATGCCAAAGTCTTAAGGTTTCCTTCTATTTTTAGGGAAAAAATATTAGGTGAGGTTATTATGGTTGAAATTTTATTAGAATTGGTTTTAAAATTTTCAGATTTATTTTAAGATGATTATAATGCAAGAGTTGGTTAATTTATTGATATAATATACTTATCTTAAAGTGAATTAAAAAATTAGAATTTGTCCTAGTTAAATTTCAATTAGAATATTTTGACATAACTGTTCTCCTTCTGTCTGTTGATTTTAACTTCCCAAGTTATCTAGGCTGTTTACTTCCTCATGTTATCAATTGCCTGATGTAGATGATAAAATTTTGGAAAAAAAGAGAAAACCTTTATCTAACTATTGGAAGAAAGGTCCAATAATACTCTAATACATTGGCATTGTTAGTAGGCATGTTAGGCTAGTTGGATTGGATTTAAGTTTCATCTGGGATATATTTTTTACTGTTTTGCTTATATGTGATGTAAGTTAAATTTATATGGTGGCTATGAGGTTGAGATAATGTGGTATCTTGGATTATTTGTGAGAGCTTATCAAGCTATAACACTTTATTAAGTATTTGTTATAAATTCCCAACCACCATAATTATTTGCTTGCTCAATGATTTTTGGAGGGTCTAGAGCTTATCAAGGGCTTTATTATTATTATTATTATTATTATTTGACATTCTTAATGACTATAATAGCACTTGCTTTCTTGTTGGAGGGGGATAACATAGTAATCTTCACTAATCATTTGGTTTATCCATGAATAATTATGTTTGTTATGTTACACTAGCTGTGGGGGGCATATTGAATTATGCCCAACTTATTAGGTTGTCTTATTTGATGATTCAACAATTAATGGATCTTTATGTATCATATGAGGATCTAAAACACCAATCCATGCACCTCTTTAGTGTCATACATGTGTCCATAGATTTGAAGTCTTGACTGGTCAGCTTATGCAACTAAATTGGTCAACTTCAAAATGAATTCTACAGTGATCTTCTAGATATTGTTCATAAATTGATTTAATGTTTTGCAGTGTTCCCTTCCTCATGATTTGTTCACTTAGTTAATAAAAGGATACCTATTTTGTTAAAGGGGCGTTGTTTTATTCTCATCACTTTATTTGTTATGGTCATATCATTCAGTATTAAACAGCATCAAATTTTTATAAAGTATGTAGTCTCCATGGAAAGATTGATTCCTAAGATTCAAGAAGACCTTACTTTTCATCTTGATGCCATATTAGATCTCACCATTTTCCAGATCCACTCCATATATGGGACAATAGCTATGCTCGAGAATTTCCTAGAATGTTGTAGTGCCTCTTTTTCTAGTTAAATGACCATTTGATGCCCTACGCTGATACTAAATTACTCCCTAGCCTGTCATGAATAACATCATGTCTACCATCACCAAAACTAATCGCCCATAACTCTTAAATTGATATTCACTTTGGAAATGTCTTAAATCAATTAAATGCTTATAAATATTATGTTCCTGAGCCTTTATTTATAGTAAGTAAGATAAATTCACGCCATATTAAAACTCTAAGGCTATGATAAAATAGACAGATTTAGAATCAACTTTTTCATTCTTTGTGGAATCCCTCTACCTTATAGTGGACATAGGACGCTCTCCAAACCACTTAAAAATTTTATATGAACCAATCAAGACTATGACATTAAAACTCTAAGACTACACATTAAAACAAATGTTTAGAATCATAACCACTATCTTTGAAGATCCTCTCTTTCTGACCGTCACTCTTCATTCTTGTTTTTTGATCTTTTAGATAATCAATTTACCTCTATTAGGGATGAACAACTCAAATAATTAATCTTCTATCATTTGCTCTGGGCTAAACCTTTATTTTTTCTATATGAACCAATCAAGACTCGGACCCTTCCATTTTTTTAATTCCCTCTCAACATATTCTGATTGTTCTCATATTTTTGTTCCTCATTAGAAAACAATTGAGTTATCTAAAAACTTAATGGAAAATCATCCAACTTCTCTTAGCTAAATACCACTGCACTAATCTTGGTCTATGCCTCTTGGCGATCATAGTAGTGAATCATAATCCTAATCGACAAAGACATTTATAACTATATTGTAATTTTTGAGACTCTTGGAAGATGGATCTCATCCAACTAACAACCCTTTACTATTGCCCTCACTTCAACTATAGTGGTTGAATCTATGGCCGTTCGCACCACATCATAGAATGTTGCTAGGGGGTATCCTATTATGTCGTCAGCGATGATGTCAACAACACCCACTCCACCGCCCTCCAAATAGTAATGATTGCTCAAAAAATTTCCTATACCTTAATGATAGTGGCAATAAACAAAGATTTGCCCCATCGTGAATGTGATCCTTGAGAAGAGCTACTAGGAGAGGGAAGCTTGAAGCAATTTCTAACACACCTTATAAAACCTCTAGTTGAATAAATTTGAACACCTCATCCAATTACCAGGATGGCTGCAAACACCTCCTAGTAAGCAACATATGCATTATATGATACAAAAATGTTTAGTGGTTTGATGCTAGTCGAGAGTATGTTAAATCAGAAGCTATATAATGCTGTAATCTCCGATTGATTGACTCATGTGAGGAGCGAGCATTATGATGGACCGGTTCACCCTGAACCGGTCCGGCCTGGACCCGTGCGATTGATTGACTCGTGTGAGGAGTGAGCATTATTTGGATAAAACTAAAAAATTGAATCGAGCTTATCTTATTTTGGTTCATATGCAATATGTTATATTATCAACTTGATTATTGTTTATAATTTTATCTTTTTTCCTTGGTTATCATTTTTTTTTTTGGGGTAAAACTATATATCAAACCAACCATTGAATTATATTTGTTTCTTCAAATACTAAATCAATAAAGCCCATGAATTGCAAATAAATTAGTGATTGTAAGGTCATTAGTAAGATGTTTGAAAAATATGCGGCTATCTTAATGAAAGCAGACAATTAGACAAACCAATATGCCTAATATAAAAAAGAATCATCATATGAATGCTTGTCTTGCATAAGTAGTAAAAAAACAATTGAATGAAGAAAAAGTTGGTAGATAGACTCTAGGGTATGGCAAATACTTTGGTCATAGCACATGGAGACGATCCTATTACTAATATCACATAAAGTGCATGCCACTAAGAAATCATGAAGATTTACGTAAATTTCTGCTGTGTTATTGTATATTTTCATGTTTATGGTGTTGTAATTGTATATGTGGGAGATATATTGTCTGTATTGTGTATTTTATGTGTAAAATGGCTAGAAAAAGGTACTTAATTAAATTAATTAATTGAGGAGTGAAGTGTGGGCTGACCAAATAAGTGGCTAGGCATAATGGAGTGGTCACTTAAGCATGAAGGAGGGAGTAGTTAAGAGCATCTCCAACCGAAAATTTCATTTTTATCTCCAAAATGCTGTGAAACTAAGAAATGCCGTGATTCATCTCCAATCGAACTCCATTATCCCGCTTTTGCAGGTAACGATTGCCTCTTCTTTTGCGCGGCAAGTTCGGTAGAGATATAAAAATGACGAAGATGAACAGTGCAACGCCAATATTGGCGTCCCACTGTTCACTCGTAGCCAAACAACGGAAGTTTTACCTTTCGGCTGGAGCTGGCGCGGGATGCCATTCAAGCATTTGAATTTCGGTTGGAGATGCTCTAAGGTGTTTGCAAATATGGGTTGCCCCTCCCCCTTTCCCTCCTCTATTATAATTTAAATTTCTCATGTGTAATTTGTATAAATATTGATCGACTCTAGAATGAAGAAGATAAATGTATTTTGTGATTTAGTTTTGAAGAAAGATTTATTTTTTAGTTGCTTGGTCCAAATTAGGAGGGGTTGGGTGATTCTTCTCAGAATTACTACTTGAAGAATAGTAGGATTTAACTACTTAATTTCCTGCATTATTTTCTTTTGTATTTTTTCCTATCAGTCACTCCTCACTCCAAAAAATTATAATCCTATTTGGCTAGTAGAATAAACCCCTGTCTGCCAAGAACATGAGAATCCAAATACGGTATCGAATATTCACATGCAAGCATGTGTGTAAAAATTGGCTAGTGATCCCACTTATATGGTGTACATTTGTCTGATGATTTATCATAAAGGTTAAAGAAAACTCGTCATTGGCTAAACAACTCACAAGTTGATGTTTATGGAAAGCCTGCCTCTGAAGCCTTCCAAGAAGATTATAAGCGTTGGAAAGAGATTGTTAGCAATTTATATATGAAAATAAAATCCTGCATGTGCTCCGATCATCACATTTGAACTCCTAAATTCAAGGTCTGAGAAATATTGTGCGGGTCAAAAATTCAAGTTTTCACCCTCCTTAAAAGGACTGGAGTCGACACGGCTTGGATTAACAATCGAATACCTAATCATGAACTGATTACTTAGATACCTGATGATGGCAGCGTTGATAAAAAATTTCAATTGGAGGGGACCCCAAACTTTTAAAATGCCTCTCAAATTCTTACAAAACTTCAAATCTAATCACAAAAAACTTAAAACTAAAATTCATTTGCCTCGCGCAATTGTTTGTCGGGGGTGATAGATTTGAAATTAACTTAAGCTCACAAAGAGCGAATGTTATGTCGGATATATCACTAAGATTCATCCTCAAAAAATCTCTCACCAGCAGGAACGAGGCATATGCCCTTTGATTGAGTGATTTTGCTGTAAAATGGCATAATTATATTACAATTATGGTGAAAGCCCATATGCTTCCTTACGATTTCAAATTTTTTGAGTAATGAATTATAAGATGTTCTCGATAGACACAAAATACTTTTGTTAGCTAAGGTAGACTCAACTGTATCCCCGTAGAAAAACACCTAGAACTACAAGGTATTCTTGGAGGAAGCAACCCATGATTGCAGACAAGGTTATTTATGTTAGGTTGGGTCGAATACCTCCTCTAACTAAGTAGACCAGGGACCATGAAAACCCGAGATGACAGAACCATAGGATCTTGATCGGGCTTGTTATCATTCCCCTCA